CCCCTGCATATCATGTCTCGTGATAATATCGGTGTAACCTACCAATATGCAAACCTATTTTTTTTCATTCACATATGAAGCACATTATCATTAACTTCTACTTCGTTCGACATAAAAGTGCAAACTAGTGGCATTCTTTTCTCTCATAACTCTTTTTGGTTATTAACTCAACAAACTACATGCCATAATTGATGTCATCTCACGTGACTCCGCATTGTGGGAGCATATTAGAGAAATAAATAAATAAATAATTTTATTATTTCCGGTTTTTTTCTTTTGGTATATACATTAAATTAACATTCATTATGGATATTAGTTCACTTTTATTTTTATTTCCTTTCATTTAGTCTATATGTTAAATTGACATTCATTGCAGTTGTTAATTCACTTTCCTTTTAATTTTCTTTTATTTAGTATATATTTTAACATGACATTCAATGTTGATGTTCATTAACTTTCCTTTTTCTTCACTATTTTATATCTATAAATATTGTAGAAAGCTTGTAATGTAAAAATTAAGGAGAATAAATCGTTCCCTTCAAATTATCTTTCCTATGGATCATAACATTAATCTTGGACCTAAAATAAACACGTTAGATTGATGAGACAATCTTTATTTGATTGTCAAAAAACTATTAACAAGGTAGAATAATATCCAACCAATTAGATGATAAAAATGAATAGATACTTTATCACTAATGAATTTTTTTTTGGACATTTGGCTAATTAAGATAAATTCGCACACACATCATCTAAATAAGACTTGAATCCAAGACCTTCTGGTTGCCAGTCAAATCTTCCACCCAACAGATCAAAATGAGCTGTGCTCTAATGAAATTTTATTTTTTTGTTTGCTCAAGATAAAAATTAGATGAGCGATAAGTCTTTGAAGAATTTCTCCATCACATATTATATTATACAATTGATTGCGAAGATGAACATATTCAGTAGCTGTGAACAAAAATCAATAGGGTTTTGGAATCACTTGAGTTGGGCGAAAATAAATACTTGTAAATGCAACTAATGATTGGATCGTTAAAATTTTCTGATCAGCTTCACAAAATTTCAATAATGGCTTATAATTCAAAGAAAGTGATCAAATTCTGCCTGGATTTTTTTTTTGAACCTAATTGCGCCCGGATCAAAGCTTAGGTTTTGGCGCTAGACAAAGTAAATTAGGGAGCCGATCAGGCCATTCTTTTCGGCAGCTTTGCCTGGCGTGCTTCTCTAGGAGATCATTGTTTTCTACTTCTCTCATGGGCTTCTTGCCTCTTTAATTTTCATCTCACTGGATGGCTAGTTTCATTCCCAACTAATCTGTAGACGTCCCTTCGTCTCTGCTGCCACCTTTTTTCTTTTCTGAGGAGGCTAATTCTCACCATATTGTTCGATCATGGCTGTGGTGAGCTCGGCAAGCGGGCTCCTGGCCATGCTGAACGAGCAACATCCCGCCCTCAAGCTCCACGCGCTCCACAAGCTGAACTCCCTCGTTAATCTTTTCTGGCCAGAGATCTCATCTAGCGTCCCGACGATGTTAGTTTTAAACCTAGTTCTGCATTTTTTAGTTTTTTTTTTTTTAATTCTCCCGTCTGAATTAGGGTTTTGGAGGTCGACAGTGTTCTTTAGATGGGCTTATGCGAACATTGATGCTTGGGAATAATGCTAAAGCATCAATAGTTTGTTGACTTACTTTGTGTATTTTCATTTTTTGCAATCATGTTAAGAACCCTAGATCGCAGTCGTTCTGTAGCATTTTTTTATAGATAAAAAATGATTGAAACGTTCATGTTTGTCAATGTTTCAATCTGACGCTGATCCAAAATGTAATGTATGCATTGATCGATTATATATGTTTTATTGTCAATAATGATTTTCCTCTTGCTTTGTTAATTTCCAGAGAAAGTTTATACGAAGATGAAGAGTTTGAACAGAGGCAGCTTGCTGCCCTGGTTGTTTCCAAGGTAGTTTTTTTTGTAAATCCTCAACTTTGAGGCTGTTAATGCCTTATATTTGCTGATTCTACACTGGTTTGGTTGCTCCTCTCTGAGTACAGGTGTTTTACTACCTTGGTGAGCTTAATGACTCATTGTCATATGCCCTTGGTGCTGGTCCGATGTTTGATGTGTCCGAAGATTCTGACTATGCTCATACCCTTCTTGGTTTGAACTGTTTATCTTGTTCTTCTTTCATGCCACCTGCTCTTGCACACTGCCTCTTCTGTTCGTTAGTATAATTTCGTTGCTTCGCAGCCAAATGCCTTGATGAGTATGCAAGCCTGAAGTCAAGATGTGCTAAAACTGGCGAAGAAGGTGCAGCAATTGATCCTAGATTGGAAGCTATAGTAGAGAGAATGTTGGACAAGTATGTCACATAAAATTAATTGTTAGGCCTATGTTTTTATGTTGGTCATCAATCATATCTTCTTGCTGCAGGTGTATTACAGATGGAAAATATCAGCAGGCCATGGGTATGGCTGTTGAATGTAGGAGGTTGGATAAGTTAGAGGAGGCGATTACTAAGAGTGAAAGTGTTCATGGTGCTCTTTCTTACTGCATCAACCTTTCACATTCTTTTGTTTATCACAGGGAGTACCGGTGTGAGGCAAGTAGCCCTATTTCCAAAAACATTATTTGTCCAACTTTTATTATTAATTTTTGCAGTTCATAATTACATGGAAATAAGAAATAGCAGTATGTATATTTGATTTATTTTGGTGGCACATGCACTTATTGATTGGTTAAATTGCATCAAATCATTTTATTTTTGGTACTGGTCTATATTATTTCTATATTTAAGGCACAGAAAGAAGGATGGTGCAGCACACCGTATGGTTCAAGAATGGGATATGCAATGAAACACAAAAATTCAAATTTACAATACTCTAACTTTTAGTTTAAGCTAATAGTGTTCTCTTTTCATGAAAATCAGGAAATGCACCATTCATTTCAAATGATAATATAAAAGTAACAAAAGTCTAAAATTTCACAAAAATATTGAAAAGATATATATAATCTTGTAATGATTAAGATTCACATATCGAAAATGGAAGCCAATATGGATCAAACTTTATAAATTCCCAATCATGCATACAAACCAATCAATAAACATTTTAGATGAAAGAGCAATGATGTAAATCACAAATTGCAAGATTCAATCCTTATGAAGGTATGAGGAAAATAGTCCATCTAAAATTTTCATTATAACTTGCAGAATTCTTGGATAATCCACATCTAAAATCACACACAATAATTGATAGTAAAATATAGATTTTATTAAACTCTTCAATGAATTGTACCTGTCTTAGGTGTCTTATATATATATAACAAAAGAAAAAATTCAAAATAAATATTTTCTCATAATCTCCTAAGATCTGGCATGATGCTGTAAGTGTCAATTCAATACACTCGGATTCCAACAAGTACAAGTTTTTAATCTAGTTTCAACAAAAATAGTTAAGTTTTCACTATGAAAATATTGTTCCAGCAGGTTCCGAGTAATTATTTGCCCTAGTTTTGATGCAGTCAGTACTCGAGAATAAAAGGAGCCAAATAGTCAAATACCACTATAAGACTAGAGAAGGAAAAATCACAAAAGTAAAAGTTGTGGAAGCAGTGTTGCAAAAATAAAGAATTGAAGGAAACAACCAACGATTTGTGCTATAGCAAATATTGCTCGAAGCTATTGTACAAGAAGTATGAAGGAAAAAAAATTACGCAACATCAACAATTCCTCCAAATTAAAAGTTGGCTATCAACATGGAATTGGTTTTCAAAAGAGCACCAGAATAAGAAATCAATGACAATAACAAAGCAATTCCAAAACAGTGGCTGGACAGTTTCTGAAAAGAAAACAAGAGAACTTACCATGTGCTATAATAAGGAAGGAGTTATATACAACTGAACTTGGGAGTCTACGAGCTGAATTGGAACAACTTGTAACAGTAAAATAAAGCTAATTATGTCATCAAAATGCAAAATAACATATCCGGTTCTCATAAGTAGTAACGTCATAGGCTTGCCACATTCAAATTAGAATTATGAAATTGGAAAATAAGACAAGCAGCTAATACAATATCAATTCAGGTAATTTGCATTTCCAAGGAATGAAAACTTTTGTATTTGCATCAAAGGATGGATCTAGTGCAGGAGGCTTCCTGTTAATGAGCAGTTTGTTTTAAGTTATTTCTTCTTTGTTTAAGGCACTCTCTCTTGGAAAGAATTTCTTTTGGAGAGTATTATTAAATTCTGTTGTTTTCTTCTGAAAGAGCATTCTATTTTGGCTAGTTGATGGTTATTTAGATCAAAGATACAATCATACAATCAACATTTACATATTTTGAGGTACACCTTGGACTAAAACGTTCTTTTTATAGAAATGATATCAATGAAGGACTATTAGTGTATTTTCGATGTTGTGCAGATGCAGTAATCGAAGTAACTTCGTGTGTTCAATCTTTAGTTATTACTTAGCCTTGGTGTTTTGATTGTGTTAGAACTAAATATGCATTTTGAATTTGGCCCATAAGTTTTTGTTGATGGCATAATTACCACAACAAATTGCCTTCTAACCATCAAATCAAATATGTCTCACCTATCCTCGATTTTCTGGGTTAGTTGGAGTGACAGTAGCTTTGTTTAACATTGATTCTTTTCTCCCAGTTGAACTCTTTATTTACTTGTGAGCCCCACCAATAAATTGTGTTGTGTGCTTGGGGAGGCAACCATATAATGCTTTTGGCATTGGCTAATTAGTTGTAGTCCATTTGAATGGTATTCTATTGCTTTTCATTTATCTTCTATTTTTTATCCTTTGTGGTGGCTATATTTTTTATGGGTGCTGAGTATGCTGACAATTCCCCATGTTGCATTCTTTAAGAATTTGTTCAACAAGGATACTCACTAATTCCTTACATAATAGAGTAAATCTTCTTTTATGCCTTGTTCATATTTCATCATTTATATGACAAAGTAAAACCTTTAGCAGTAATTTTGCTGATCGCCTATAATTAACTTTCATCAAAGCCTTAAGTTGGAATGATCCCATTTTCCAGCGTAAGGATTTGTCTGTCCATTATGAATTTTATCTCTATCTGCGGGTGTTTTTGTTTTTGGAAATGTGGGGAACAATTGCTTTTATTAAAAAAAAAAAGAGCTGAAGATAGTTTTTAAGTATATAACTGAGTATGAATGATATTTCCTGACTTCATTCTGTGTGTGTGTGTGTTTTTTTTTTAATCACAGATTCTTCGTCTCCTCGTTAAAATATATCAGGGATTGCCATCACCTGATTATATAAACATTTGCCAATGCCTCATGTTTCTTAACGAACCTGATGCTGTTGCTACCACAATGGAAAGACTTCTACGATCCGATAGTAAGGTAGTTGCTTTGGTTCCATTTTTTCATTTGCTTTACTTAAACTGAAGTTATCTTGAACTGGATTGCATACTGTAGATCAAAACTAAGTGTTCCACAATGTATTTCCAGGATGATGCGCTTCTAGCATTTCAGATTGCTTTTGATCTTGTTGAGAACGAACATCAAGCTTTTCTTCTAAGAGTTAGAAATCATCTCCTTTACCCAAAACCTCGAGCACCAAGTCTACCGGACAATTCTATGGATATTACATCTGAAAATGGAAATCCTGGTGCATCTGATGATGCTGCAATTGAAACACTAAATATTATCACGAATGATAGTTTTCATGCTCCCAATGGTGCCTTAGATCCAGCTGAAGTTGCATACAATGAAAAGAGTGAAAAAATTAGAGGAATTTTGTTTGGAGAAACATCAATACATCTGACATTACAATTTCTATTTAGCCACAACAGGTCTTTCTTCGCTATGCAAGGCCTTTATTCTCTTTTACTTTTATATGCTCATGGCTGTTTGCATGTGCAGGTCAGACATCTTAATTTTGAAATCTATAAAGCAGACAGTGGAAATGAGAAATAGTGTCTGTCACAGTGCTACCATTTGTGCAAATGCTATTATGCATGCTGGAACAACAGTGGACACCTTCCTGAGAGAGAACTTGGTAATATTAAATAATTTTGAATTAAGGTTACCGACCTACCTGTCATTTTATTTGTATGTAGGGACAGAAAATTTAGATATTTAATAGTGAATATTACAAAATTGTCATGTTTGGTCTGGTAGGAATGGTTGAGTAGAGCGACAAATTGGGCTAAATTTAGTGCTACTGCTGGTCTAGGGGTTATCCACAAAGGACACCTCAAGCAAGGTAGGGCTCTCATGGCACCTTATTTGCCTCAAACTGGTGCTGCTGGTGGCGGCAGTCCTTATTCGGAAGGTGGTGCCCTTTATGCTCTGGGTTTTATTCATGCCAATCATGGTGAAGGAATAAAACATTTCCTTCGAGAAAGCCTACAGAACACTAGCTCTGAGGTAGCAGTCCTTTTGAGTTTTCACTGCTCTCTTCTGAGAGAACTAGACATTTTCTCTCCGCTTCTTAATGTATTTTATAAGTTTTGGGTTGTTATAAACTTTGCAGGTTATTCAGCATGGAGCATGTTTAGGTCTCGGATTGGCAGCTTTAGGAACAGCTGATGAGGAAATATACGAGGAGATCAAGAATGTCCTATATACTGATAGTGCAGTAGCTGGTGAAGCTGCTGGTATCAGCATGGGCTTGCTTATGGTTGGAACAGCAAGTGATAAGGCTAGTGAAATGCTGGCATATGCACATGATACACAGCATGAGAAGATCATTAGGTACTTATGAATAACTAAGAAAGAATAAATTTCTCTGATTGATCTCTTTTTCTTTATTATATATTTACTATTCAGTTTTCTTTCTTTATGATTATTTTTTGCGTCTAATTTTTGTGAAAGAGCTAGTGAATCTGTTAAATGCCCGCAATAAACTCATGAAAATGATAAAATTATAAAGACAACCTGAAACAGTAGTTGTACGTATGAGTTTTAATGGTGTAACTGTAAGGTAATAGGAATTGTAACAGATTGTTAACTGAAAGAGAAAATTTCAGAGATTAAATGGGAAAATTTCATTCTGTGATTTTGTTCGAGATAAATTTTTATTGAAGAGATTGATAATTTATTTAGGTATAGAATTTTGTGAAGAGATGCATGAACTTTTAATGAATAATAGAGGAATAATGATAGTCCTTAGTACTGGAGATGTAAATGGATTTATTTGATGAAATAGCATGAGTCATGAAAGAATGCATTGTAGGTATGAGTTTGATTGCTGTTTGAAGATGAAATAAAAATATCTACTGTTCCATTAGCATACTGTTCCAACATTGTTAAAGAATATATCAAAAAGTTAGGTGAAAGACTATCTTTCTGATTAGGTAAAAAATGCTTTTATCATTAATGGTAATTATGAGATGATGCATAAGCACACAATAAGGAGTGGAGATTGTAGTGTATTTTAATAACGAGGCATCCACCAATGCAGGGTTTGGGGAGGGGATGATGGATAGAGCCTTACTCCTAGAATGCATATAGATCTTCACCTCTACAATGCACTTAACGTTGTTTTTTTTTTAAAATTTGAACATGTATCCTTTAGGCCATAGTAGAGGCAACCTGAACATTTCTCCAATTCAATATCTTCCTTGTGGAATGAAGTATAAAAGAATAATCTAGATAAATTGCATGATCTATTTATGAAATGTTTCATCCAAAAGCACAATATTCTTGAAATATGATTCATAATAATTAATATTATTCAATATTGTAACTTATTTTTTCCATGATTCTTTGTCAAAAGGCAATAATTGGAACAGTGTTACAATTGATTATGTGTGTATAGTACTATAGTTAAACAATAGATCGAGCAAAAAAATATGCTAGAATAATATGTGAAATATCCTTGTAACCATTATATAATAATTTGATACTGGATGATCTTGGAAAAAAGAAGCTCAAGAGGATAACAAAGATGGAAAGCTAAAAAATATTATGAAAAATAAAAAGTGTTGTAAGCCTCACAGTTAAATAAGGAGATTATCTTAGTTAGAAGGGTTTTAATTCCCACCCCTGATCAAAGATCAAAATCCAAGAATAGGTGAAAAAGGGTGACCACATCCACAATAAAGTTTGTCATGCCCAAATTTTTTTAATATAATTAACAATTTTGTTATTATAGATGCAAAGTAATATTCGACTAATAATTTACTTACAAATTGCTAATAAACTAATGACAAAATAAAATAACCTCAGTTAAAATCATGAAATTCCCGAGTTTTATAAGGCATAAAATAAATCAAATATCCTTGAAAAGATAAAATTTATAATTTACAGCCGCATCAATTCCCCGACTATAGATCACTATATTCTGGGAATGAAAGTGATAATTCACCCAAAATAAATATTTTGCTTCATCAACTATGATCATGAAATGGTGGATGATATTTTCAATTGATTAGAGAATGACATGATCTTGAATAAACGTTAATGAGCTCATCTGGATGTAGTAGTGTAAGGATTGACACTATGACTTGTATTGATGTCTAGCGGAAGATCTAATTCCGATCAGTAGAAGTCAGGCATCTTTTGCTTTTGCATTTTTTTCAAAATAGGAAGGTTGGTTATTGCTTATGGTTCTTGTGAAAAACTAAAAAAGGCAAGTCATTCATCACAAAACAATGGTTCATTACTCATAAACAATAATTTTACTATTAATGGAATAGCATTTTACTGCGCACAATAACATATGATAGAAAAATGTGACTGGTTGGGTGGAATTTGAGTGAACTTTAGCATTAGGCTGATTTGATTCATTTATTTGTGGGATTAAATAATGTTGGGATTAGGATAAGTTCTGTTGAAGATTTGCTGTTAGTTTGTTGGAGGAAATTGATGAAGAGGAGATAAGATGGAGTTTTGCTAGGAACTGGATTCAAATTTGTATTTGAATAACATTAATTATGTCGAGATTGTTGGTTGGTTTTGTGAAGGTTTGTTGAACTTGAAGGAGTGAGAAAAGAATTGGATTGAGGGAAAAGGGTGAGCTGGTTTCACTGCTAACATGAACAGTAATTAACAACTTTGTGTATACTTAAAAAGGGCTTGCGGTGTGAAAGAAAAGGGAATAAACCTTAATCACATTTGATTTCAAGTAGAAACTGCATAAAAATGATAAAAAAATTATAACTTGGATACCGAGTTGATGTCAGGAAGCCATTAAAAGACACAAAATAGGTAATAAAGAAAATTGTACTAAAAAAATAAAGACAAGTAAGCCTCATGCTTGAATAAGGAAATTATCTCCCTCGAAAGGATTGATTAAAATTTAGAAATTTGTGTATTATATATTAAGCCACATGTTGACGAATATTTTCGCACCGATTTGACCCCGATCGAGCCCGACTAGGCTCGATCGCGCTCGATCGACGTCGAGACAAAATCGACTCAAATTAGACTCCAATTTAATTAAATTAATTCAATTTAATTAAATTAAAATTAAATCAAATCAATTCAAACGCCGTCGAGCCCAATTCGACGCAGTTCGACACATTTCGGCGTCGATCCGAGTTCAATTTCGCAAAATTGACTCAATCGAACAAAATCGGACCCAAATCGACTCAAATCGATTCGGGTCGAGCCCAATTCGGAGCCAATTTCAGCCCCAATTGATTGATTTGGGCTCAATCAACTTCCCAAATCAGAAAATTGAAACCTATGGCTGAGATTTTATCTCATTTCTCACCCAAAATTTGGGTTCAATATACTCAAGTACATTTCACCTCGTTTCAAGCAACGAGGAGGCCGGATTGGGTATTATAGGCGGTGGACCTGCTCCCTCGTGCTGTCCGTCCGAACCCGTCCCGAAACAAGAGCGGGAGAAGGGGGAAGCCATTCGGCTTCCTTGTGTTTTTCCGTCCCGACCAGAGCGAGAGAGGGAGACGGAGAGAGCCTCTCGGCTCTCTGCGTGTGGTTCCGTCCCAGACAGAGCAGAGAGGGGAGTTTGCTCCCCTTGCGTGCGTTTTGTCCGTCCAGAGCGAGAGAAAGGAAGCGGGGCGGGCGGTCTTTCCAGTCGAGTGAGGAGATATGATATTTAAAATTTCGGGACTTTACCTTGCAGTGATTGCCGTCAACCTTTTGGTTTTACATTGGCTGTTATGTTTTTCCATGGATTTGAAGCAATCTACACATTGGAGTGACTTTTTTTTTTAATTAGCCAAGATGACCAAGATGACATGCTTGGTCGAAACTTGATCAATGAAATGAAAGTTGTGGCCAAGGCAGCCCTGAGCAAGTAAGGAACATTTGATCAATCAGATACATCATTCAAGTCACATTTCCAAATAGATAGTGTGGTATAGATTGGTACATCTGTGTGAATTGCTGAGTGTTAAAGGGTGATATTCATGAGAAATGCCACTTTCCTTCCACCCAACAGTCCTCAAGTTTTTGGCGCTTATTTTCTTTTTATGCTATATTTTATCCCAATAATCAAGAAAAGTAATATAAAGAAAACCCAAACTATCTTGAGTTTGCTAAGTGTTAGCAAAAATGTACTTGCAAAGCTTTTTTTTTATCCATGCTTGAGGTCGGTTTTTTATTTGTAGGTAAATATGGATCTTTGCATCCATTGTAAGAATTTTATTCTTGTCATAACATAATTTAAAACGTAGGTAAAAAAATATCTCCATATCCATGATTGAGTTTTATTCATGTTATAATTTTATTTTACATAATTTAAAAATATTTTATTTACGAATAAAAGAGATTACAAACTTCTAACAAATTGTTAACAAACTAATGATATAAACTAAAATGTTTCTAATTAATTAATGAAACGACAATGAGAATGACTCGAATATCATGATAAGGTAAGATTCAAAATTCATTTTCCTGTAAAAATATAAGTTTATTAATCAAGGTATTTATCACACAAATCTAACAATGAGCGTTGGAAAAATAGAAGCAAAATCATATAAATCTAGCAACGAGTGAGGAATGCACTTAAGAATAGTGATTGAAGGTAGCTTAAGCATTATTTAAATATAAATTTTCATGCCAAATAAGAAGTTAAATAACCAAAAAATAATCGTACCTTTCGTGATTTCCCTGGATAAAATAAATATGCTCAATTGAGGTGCTTTCTACACAAGGAAAGCAGGCACTAAGCTGCTGCAGTTTGCTATGAACTACTTGAGAAAGCATACGTTCCTTAACATGTGCTTTTGTTATCTCCATTGGCTAGCAGTTTTTTCTAGATTTGCTAGGAAAGTCGTTCAAAATAAAATTTGGCGCTTTGTACATTGTCTTGCTTTTGCTATGGAGCACTTGAGAAGTTGGGGTGCTGTTGCCTCAACATGTTTTTGTTGCATAAAAGAAAATTATTTAGATGGTAGTGTATTGGAATTAAGAAATGTAAAGTGCGATAGCCTATTTCTTATTATTTTGAGAGTAGCATCTATTGATTTAGGTAAACAAAATTTAGGTTGAGTTGTTCAGCGTGCAAACTTGAGAGAAGTAATTTGGCGTGCTTTAAAGGGTTTAGGCTAAAGAGCATTTAAACTTTAATGCTTAGAAATTGTTCCGAAGGATGTAACAAATAGAGAGGACGTTAAATTCTTCTAATGAATGTTGAAAAGACTTTACAAGGTTTACTCAAATGGTGGTGACGAAGATGAAGACAACATTATTTTGCTTCAGCATTATTCACAGTTTTCTTAAAAACAATTAAATTGTGGTTGCCATCTTCTGCTAGTTAAATATCACATCTTATGAGCTGTTACTTTACTAAACAATAATTTGTAAACGTATTATCTCTAATGTGTTGTTATCCTTTAAAACGTATTTGATGATCTCTAATGTGCTTAATTATAATATTTTTATATAATAAGGTAACCGAAAAATTTGTTTTGTTTTAATGTTTCTATGTCCCATGTCGCTTATAGGTTCTACATTTTAGTTGTCTTGCTATATACTTAATTTTGGTTCTTGACCTTGTTTGCAGAGGCTTGTCTCTTGGCATAGCATTGACCGTTTATGGCAGGGAAGAAGATGCCGATACTTTGATTGAACAGCTCACTAGAGATCAAGATCCAATTCTTCGCTATGGTGGTATGTATGCGTTGGCCTTGGCATACAGGGGGACAGCAAATAACAAGGCGATACATCAGCTGCTGCATTTTGCTGTATCAGATGTTAGTGATGATGTTAGAAGAACGGCTGTTCTCGCCCTTGGATTTGTTCTATACTCTGAACCAGAGCAAGTCAGTTTGCTGCTAATAGAAATATTACTTTTTTATCAATCTGCTAAATGGACTATACTAGTTTTTTTTACTTTTGTTGAATTTTTTATTATGAATTTATCTGATTTCACTGTTTCTTGTTTACTTTCAGACACCAAGAATTGTTTCCCTGCTTTCGGAGTCATACAACCCACATGTTAGATATGGTGCAGCTCTGGCTATAGGCATTTCTTGTGCCGGAACTGGTCTTAGTGAAGCCATTTACTTGTTGGAGCCATTGACATCAGATGTTGTTGATTTTGTTCGCCAAGGAGCCCTAATAGCCATGGCTATGGTCATGATCCAGACAAATGAATCTTGTGATCATCGAGTGGGAACATTCAGGTATCCTGGTAGTTATCTGTATTCTACCAGGCTAGGTTTGCTGTTTCACTTTTTGAAATTAATGCTTTGTATTGACCTGATGTAGGCGCCAATTGGAAAAAATAGCTCTGGATAAGCATGAGGATACAATGAGCAAGATGGGTGCCATTATAGCTTCTGGTATTCTTGATGCAGGTGGACGAAATGTTACAATTAGGTTGCTTTCTAAAACTAAACATGATAAAATAACAGCAGTTGTTGGACTTGCGGTATTTAGCCAATTTTGGTATTGGTATCCTCTCCTTTACTTCATTAGTTTGTCATTCTCACCTGCTGCATTCATCGGTCTGAATTATGATCTCAAAGTGCCAAGATTTGAATTTATGTCGAATGCGAAGCCTTCTTTGTTTGAGTATCCTCGACCGACAACACCACCGGCATCAACATCAACAGTTAAGCTACCAACTGTTGTTTTATCAACATCTGCAAAAGCAAAAGCTAGAGCTAAGAAAGAAGCAGAACAAAAGGCCAATGCTGAAAAATCCTCCATTGAAGATGTTTCTACTAGCTCAACTTCAGGGAAAGGTGTCAAAGCTAGTGAGAAGGAGTCTGAGGCAAGTCAGGTAAGCTCTTTTTTGGAACTGCAGCAATCCACCTAATCCTTATATTTTGTTGGAGTACCTTAAATGTTCATATCATTCTTTGGGAGAACTTTAATTTAAGCATTCCCATATGATAGTCTTGAAATGTTGCCTTCAAAAGTACATACAAGTATGTAAATGCATCCATTTACACAAGTGGAGCTTGAAAAGAGCCTAGATAAGATGATTGGATTTTAAAGTAGTAGTTAAATTAAAAAAAAAAGTTTTAAGATTGTAAAATATAATTTATGAGTTGGTCCAGGTTTTATTTTAAAAAAAAGACAGTGACTTGTGAATATTACTAAAGAAGTTAAAAGAATTTAGGAATAAATCTCTTACTATTAGCAGTGATCATGATGGCGATGGGTTTAACTTGATCTTTTATCTCGAGATGGGGTCCATGTTGACCCCCCACGGAAGCAGGTAGTGTGGTGAAACAACAGTTATCTAGGAAGGAAATAACTTGTCTATGCTAAGATTGGAAAATATCTATAGCTCTACAAATATCTTCATATTTTTAAATCTAGATCTTAATATGCTTTCCTTGCCCAAGCAAACTTTGAATTTCTTTCCTTGGCATGAATCCGAAGAATCCTAATTTTCTTTCTTGGCATGAATCCATGGATTTTGAATTCCTGATTTGGCATGAAATCCTGGAAAATGGATGTCTTTTCTTCCCAACCTGGAGCTGATTTCATATAACATTGCCCACTTAATTCTTTAATAAAATAAAATCTTCCTGTTGACTTCTTAAGGGCACATAAGACAGCAAATTATGCTGTTTTTCAGGTTTTTTAATTTTTTTTATTTTTTAATATTTTTTATTTTTATGAACTGCCAATTAATCTCAGTATGCTTTGTGCAATAATGTTATATTAGTTTATGCGCAATGTTTTTTGCTAATTTGTTATTACAATACAACTTTGTAGGCTTTTTTCACTTGATTCTTACTTCATTAATATTATTTTAAACATAATAATTTATTAATTCCTTTGGTCATGGCCTTTGGATGACCCGGTTAGAAGAGTAGATGTATTATATTTGGCTTACATTAAGAAAGGTAGAGGTAGACCTAAAAAGATTTGATTAGAAAATTAGATAGTATATTTCTTGATTAGACTTAAATGAGAATTTGACTCTTAACAAAATAAAATAGAGAAAAATGATTTATGTAGCTAACCCCATGTAGTGAGATAAAGACTTGATGTTGTTGTTGGTGGTTCATGGCCTAAATTTTGATTCAACCCTTGATCTAGCTAACATATTATGTTTTTATGCCTACATGTTATCATATTTCCTCCAATCAATGCTCAAGAATCTAATTTTGGCTTATTGTCCACTAGTGATCATTTGTAATCTGCATCTCTTGCCTTCCAATGTGAGTTCATCTAGTTTAAGCAAAACTCTTTTATTATCTTCTAAGTAGTGAAGCACATGATAGGCAACTTATTGATGTGGCTTCCTTGGACAAAATAGGAATTTTAATGCCCTCCTATGATGCACAGACACGGACACGGTGACACGGATACGACACGACACGGACACGGGACACGAGACACGTCAGTTATTGAAAATATAGGACACGGACACGGGTTAGACACGGTATTATAGTTTTTATATTTAAAAAATAGTGTATAAAAATTAAATAAGTATAATTTTAAAAATAATTTGAAAATAATAATTCATTTAACTAAAATTTGTACTTAAAATGATAAGTATTAGGATGTCGAGAGTCGGGCGTCGATGCCGTTTATCAGTCACCGAGAGAGGAGATGAAAATACCTTCACTGCAAAAAAAAATGAGAATATTCGATGATTGGGTATTAAGTGCGGACGTTGATTTGATGTTGTGGCTAAGAAATAAAAAATTTAGTTTAAATCCCCTCAAATACAATAAATTATATTTAAAAAAATTCATAAAATATTTAAGATACGCGTGTCGGACACACGTGTCCAATTTGTATTTAATATTTTTTAATCGGACACATTTTTTGCGTGTCTGACACGCGTCGGAGGAGTGTCGGGCTAGTGTCGTGTCGGATACGGTGTCAGACACTGCACACCTCTTTGAGGAGAAGTGTCGGTGCATCATGCCCTCATAAGGAACATCAGAACTTACTATGTCTTCACTTACAGTAACCAGATGGTATTTTAAACTTGTGTTAGGTCTGGTACAACTCTTTTTTAGTACATGTGAAAGAATCTCATAGAGTTATAAATCTATGTAGCTTTTTGGTTAGCAGGATTAGATGTGGTGTCACGAGTCCAGAGACTCGAACTAATGACGGGAATGAACAATCGAACGGTTAATACATTTTTTTTCCACAATTACACATAACAATAAATGGCTAATATTCATCAAACACTAAAGAGCCACTAACACTACTATTGCATTGAATATTCTTTTAAACATAAATACATTTTATCCGCTTTCATTTGAGCGTCGTCTTCTATAGATGTACTCTCTCTTTCAGCAATTTTCACTTATCAGGAGACTTACCTAAAAATGTTAGTTTAATAGAATGAGTTTACAAATTAAATTCAGTGGGTAATCATCATTAAATATATAACAGTTAATCGTATAAATAGTCATATAAAATAAACATAAATCTTTCTTTAACTGTACATGATTAAGATATGCATCTTCTTTCATGTACTATAAGTTTTATAATTTCACATAAATTATTTCATATTCTATCTCATTTGTCCATTTCCACTTAACATTTTTTTTTAATAAATTTGATATTTAATTCATTTCAATTAGTACAGGAGTACCGTTTAAATGTAGCAATAAATGTACAATCATTTTCATTTCCTTTTAGCGTGCACAAGTACGTTGCTTCCTCAGTCAGTACTGTATGGGAGTGGACTCCTATAATTTTGCATGCACATAACTTTTACCTTCTTTTATTACTTTCCTTTTTCATTTAAATCATCGTTTAATTTATTCCATTTTCTTTCACATATTATTTTAATTTGTAAGAATATCTGTAATTTAATCACTATCATGTTAAATGTATACCTTAGATCTATATGTAGCAAATACTTCATTTTTTTATTTCTTTTATCTTTCTCAAATAATATATTCATATAATAACAATACTATAATCAGTAGCTAATCATGTAGCAATCAGATTATTAATAGAATTTGTTATAACATAAAAGAAAATCTGACATTGTTATAAAATAATTGAAATTTATCCACATTGAATATTTTTGTATGTTCAGTTTTCCTTCTAAATCTTTGATCTTCTAAAATATACTTTCAATATTTGTCTTAGCTTAGGTATGAAATTCTCACTGTTCCAATAACATTAAATTTCATTAATTACTGATGAATAATATGCAAATTCAATGTCACAATAAATATGATTTGACTAACAACCTTAAAAGTAATATTAAATGCATTAGCTATTATAGAGGAATTGTCGAAAGCTTCTAACTTTCTATATTTTGCATTTCGAAAAACTCTAAAATCAATTAAAATTAATTGCTTCAATCATTTGCCTCGATCCCTCTCTTTTCACTTGAATCGAGGCTCATCACCCATTAATTGGATTCTTTCATGTGACATAAATCCAAAATTTTGCATCTACTTATATGAATTAATCAGAAATTTAAAGTAAATATCTTACTTGTTCCTCGCTGTAGAAAATGAATACTCTCTTCTTCTTTCCCTTCCAAACTTCCTCCATTTCCTTCAAATCTCTTTTCTTGCTCCCTAAACTCTTTCTTTTACCTTTAATTGAACATTTCTTTTTTACTTAAGTAAAATTGTGAAATGATTTTGTATAGAAATAATAAAAATCAACGATATACATACCTTGTTCTTCTTCTTTCTCTCTCATTCGTTTTCCCTTAGTTGTAGCTTCTCATGTGATTTTTCCCCCACAGGAGTGAGGGAAACGAACATATATCTCATGAGTTGTTAGTTTTCTCCCTTGTACGCGATCCTTCGCTCAACGGCTCAATTCGACTTCATCTGGGAGGCTTACGCACACGGATGTTCGTGGTTTTTCCGACTGGGCTTGCATTTCGCGTAATTGCTCACCTGCATATTGAATAGTTGAACCAGTCAGGTCCGATTCTCACATGTGGGAGAGGGGTAGACTCAATGGTGTTTTGGGACATTTTGTATAGGATGTTGGGATTGTTTTGAGTTGGCATAGATAGGTCAACACATACTATGCCCACTCAAAATGTCCCAAAACCGGTGGGATTATAGTCTCTAACTTTCATGAGTGAGGTCTCCTTGAAGAAAGGATGTGTTAAACCGCATTTATTTTCAACAAATGTAACATCAACAAAATATAGAATCTTTTAAAGTAGATTGACTACATTTGCATTCTTTTTATACAGAAGAATATCCAAGAATCACACACTAAAAAAACTCTAGGTCCAATTCTTCTATTTTGACTACGAAGGCACACCCAAATGACTTAGTTATAAGACTATTAGAGGTCTAAATTCTTTAGTGGTTATTCATTTTTTCTCATAAAGGCCTATTATTTGGTCTCTCAGGTGAGCAACGCTCCAGAAAAGAAAGCAGAATCCGAACCTTCTTTTGAAATACTGACAAATCCAGCAAGGGTTGTACCTGCACAAGAAAAGCACATCAGATTCCTGGAGGGAAGCAGATATGTACCTGTGAAGCTCGCACCATCAGGTTTTGTTCTATTGAGAGATCTACAGCCATCAGAAGCTGAGGTACTTGCTCTCACCGATTCACCATCAAATGCAGCCTCTGCGAATGGTGGCGGTGGTGGAAGCACTGGAACTCAACAGGGCTTAGGTTCTTCAGCAATGGCTGTAGATGAGGAGCCTCAGCCCCCACACCCATTTGAGTTCTCTTCATAGAGAAATGTTTTTCTGGCAACAGTATAAATGCCCAATAGAGTTTCTCCCATTTGTTTATTTAACACCAGCAGATTATCTGCTACAGGTTGAGAAACTTTTTTCATTAATGGAATTGTAATCATTTTGTTTTCTTGGGTTAGATTCAGGCGGATTATGTTATGAAAATCAAGCTTTTACAGGTTGCCAATGGCGCAAGTGATCTGTATTTCTAGCTTTTCAATTTATGGGCTTCTTCATATTCGTTATCTGGATTTTGTAGTCCTTTTAGGGATAGACCTACATACTAATTTTAGATGTTATTTTTAATAACATATAACTTTTTATTTGATGTTGCGCTGGATGCAACATTGCTGTGGAGTGAGCAAGGAGTCATTGGTAGCGGAGAGATTATTCTGTGCGGATGTCGAAAGAAGTTTTATATTTGGATACCAATCAAAATGAGTCACGTCAGCGATACCGAGCCGCAATATCGAACGGTACTGAGCCTCAGTACTGCGGTATTGAGCTGTATAGAGCACGGGCTTAGGTATTCAGATGGGGTTCAGCTTCTGCATAGAATAATTTTTCGTGATGGCGACACCATTTTCCTCTAGAAATTCTTCCAACACATTGAAATCTCCAAGGAAGAAATCAAAGCCCTTGAACAATTCTATTGCTGGCTCGCGGGCCTGAACGAAGAGACCAAACTCTCCTATAACGCCAAAATTATGAAGTCTCTCCATTCTCGGATGGATGCTGATATAGAACAAGTTCTCAGACAAGCAAAATCTGTGAAACAAATGGTGGATACTCTTGACTGGTTGGTTTAATAGATGATTTTAGGACCTGCAAACTCAAATTGCCGTAGCTACTAGGAATTAATGGGGATAAGGTATTATACTGGAAGCCATTAGTGACATTCAGGATAGGCGAGATATAGTGAAGAACATTTATTTGAAATCTCTCCTTCGCGCACGAAGACTGAGCTGATAGCATAGGTAAGAACAGTCTGGTATAAATATAACTTTTATACCTGAATTGGTTTTGAAAGCAACGACAACTGAGGCCAAATACTTTCATAGTTGCTCGAAAGCTTCTTGATATTCATTAGTCCATTTGAACCCTACACCACGATCACTTCTGAGTATCTTGAAGAAGGCTAAATATTTGTCCCCTGAGTGGACTAGAAAATGAGATAGTGCTGCAATCTTTTCATTCAGTCTATGAACTTTCTTAATATTTCTCAGGGGCATCATATCTATTAGTGCCTTGATATTTTTCGGATTGACCTCAATCTCATGGTGAGTTATCTTAAAATCTAAAAATTTTCCTGAAGCGACTTCCACACACTTGGTAGGGTTGAGTCGCATATTGTAACGTCGTAAAAGGTGGAAGTATTGTTTCAAGTCAATATATATGTTGTGATTTTTCAAGGTTTTTTATCAACATATCATCGACGTATATTTCAATAGAATGCCCAATAAATTATTTGAAAACATTATTCATGAGATGTTAATATGTGGTGCCAACATTCTTAAGCTCGAACGGCATAACCAGATAACAATATAACTGTTTATATATTCGAAAAGTTGTTACCTCCTCATCAATAGAATCTATCTTTATTTGATTGTAATCAGAGTAGGCGTCCATGAAGCTCACCATCTGGTGTCCGGATGTGGTATCGACCAATTGGTCAATACGCTGAAGCGAAAAACTATCCTTCAGATAGGCTTTGTTTGTCCACACACACATTATTCATCATGCTCTACTTGCTTGTACCATTACAATATTTGCTAGCCAGATGGGATAATACACTTGTATAAATCCAGCTTTCAAGAGTTTATCACTCCCGTTTGATTGCTTGCCAGCGATTTGGTGCAAAGTTTCTTTTCTTCTGGATAGCCGGCTTGCAAGTTGGGTTTATTTTGAGGGAGTGCACAATTAGTTCATGTTTGATTCCAAGCATGTTGGCTGGACTCAATGTAAAAATGTCATAATTTTTTTTTAGGAAATTCACATACTATTCTTTCTCTTCGTTTAAGAGCAGAGATTAAATATACACAATTCTTGAAAATCTCAATCCGAGAGGACCCTGAAGTATTCAAAGATGCCTCCCAAATTCCCATGAAAACTCAAAACTCTAAAGTCACCAAAACTAGAAATATTTAAAATTGAAATAAAACATCTAAACATTTAAAGCAAAACACCAATCCACCCTCCGCAATAGTTTGCCGAGGTGAACAAATTTGAAAAGCACTTCAACTCATAAAGAACAAATGTCTGGTCGAGAATATTACTATGATTCATTTTCAAATTATCTTTTGCTAGTAAGGACATGACACATGTCCTTTAAACAGTTGTCTCATTGCCAAATGACACCACAGGTAAACGGTTATGGCCGAGACCCTCTGACCGAGTGATTTTACTGCCAAATGATACCATTAAATTACGGTTATGGACAATGCCCATATGTTTCCCAACGACATTAAATTATTGAGCAATGAATCAATAGGATATGCCAATATGGCACAAAGCTTTATGTTAGTTAAGATAGATTCAAAAATTTGTCATCTTAGATAAATATTTATCCCATGTCTATAAGGTACCCTTGGACGAAGCATCCTATGACTGTCAATGAGGATCCTTCTGTTATGTTGGGTTAACGACCTTCTCTGACTAAGTAGACCAGGGACTATGATGATCCGGGACAACGGAACCATGAGATCTTGATTGGGTTCATTTTCATTCACCCCGCCATCTGTTTTAAGTGCAAGGTGGTAAATTTTCTAATTTTAAATATCAAAATTCTAAATACCTAAATATGCTGCTACTATATGTCATATACTATGTATTTGTTTGAAGACTAGCCTTAAAACGAAAGTTCTCTCTTGCTACCGGGAGGGTAATGGCTTGTGCCTATAGGAAACATGAACTCAGATCATAAAGTCCTCATAAAATGAGAGTGAAACCTCTTAGTAGTGTCTTATTTAAAACCAATCCTACCTTCTTAAAATTTTTCTATAAACATAAACATTAAAACTCTTCTAAGCGACCCGAAAAGGAAAAAAAAGGGACTACTGAGAGGGCAGGGCGCAAATTTTCGATGCCCACAACGTCCGCAACCTCACCATTCAAATTATCCAGTTTCTCCATGAAAACAACTCACCTTTCATAGTGAACATCTAGCTTTCCTCAGCTTCTATGCCAACCAGTTTATCAAGGCACAGAAAAGCCTTCATCCGACCGGACGTAGAGGAACGTCCGGTCGGAGGCCAAATCGCACCAAAAAATGAGAAATACAGAGCAAATACCGAGCAATACCAAACAATAACGAGGAATACCATCACGTGAAGACCCAATACTGAGCTATACCGAGCTATACCGAGCTATACTGAGCAGTACCGAGTTATACAAAAGTTGTACCGAGTTTTTCCTAGAAAAAACTCGGTACAACTCGGTATAGCTCGGTATAACTCGGTATCCCAGAGCGGTATTCCTCGTTATTATCAAATAATACTTAGTAATACCGAGCAAATACCGAGTTTTTTGGCGGGATTTTACCTCCGACCGGACGTTCTTCTACGTCCTTACACCGGACCTAATAAAAGTTCCTATCATAGACGGTGGAACCATCTACACCGATGTGTTTGATGCAAACTTTGACAAACTAATCTGATCCTTGAAGAAGGCTGGATTCCCAAACATGCCTGCCATTATTGGCGAAGTCGCTTGGCCGTCCCATGGCGATAGGAATGCAAATGTTGAGCTGGCCAAAGCATTCAACCATGGCTTACTTGCTCATATTCTTAGAGGGAATGCGACAGCAGTGATGAACCAAGGGATTAAGGCTTGTGACTTCATGAATTTGGCAGTGGTGAGCTACAAGGAACCAAGTAATGAGAAGTGCCAATTTCCAGTTATGGCCACTTATGGATCAGCAAAGGTAGCAGTGAGGGTGGAAGATTTGGTTTTTGTTGCAGGAGGGTTAATATCTCTGTTGTTCTTGCAATGATAGTGGCAGATGCCCTAATGAGTGCTTGCTTGTTTCTCCTTTCTGTGCTCTACAGTTAAGCTATTTGAAGGGTTGAATAGTCTAATGGTACTTCAGCATCTTAATATGATTTTGGTAAAGATCATTTTTTTCTACTCACAACAGAAAGTGACACAAATTATATGTTACAAAGTACCAAAAAAAAAAAAAGGGGAAAGCCAAAACTTTTAAGCATGCTGTGAAACTGAGCAATCTCCTGCTTCCTTCATGAGAATTTTTATTCTATGCAGAGTTCTGAGCATCTGAAGACCAATAAAAATATGTCACATCACCAAAAAATATATCGTGCTCAATACCGAGCTCAGTACCGAGCGCATAACCGGACGGGAGAACCGTCCGGTGTCCACAGAATAATAGCTCCCTTCATGGCCATGTTTCAGCAATTTTTTATTCGGGATGCAAGTTGTGACATCCATTGCAATACTTTGTGGATAATATCGTCAATTACTTCAATTTTTTTTGGGAAATGAAATATGTAAGAAGCTAAGAGTAGCAGATTCAAACAAATGGAGACTAAAATGATACCAATCTGAAAGCAGGAGCAAGATGCGTTTGTTTTCCATGAGACATGAACATATAAAAGTAACTGTTATCACTCACCAAAAAATATACCGTGCTCAATACCGAGCTCAGTACCGAGCGCATAACTAGACGGGAGAACCGTCCGGTATCCACACAGAATAATAGCTCCCTTCATGGCCATGTTTCAGCAATTTTTTATTCGGGATGCAAGTTGTGACATCCATTGCAATACTTTGTGGATAATATCGTCAATTACTTCAATTTTTTTTGGGAAATGAAATATGTAAGAAGCTAAGAGTAGCAGATTCAAACAAATGGAGACTAAAATGATACCAATCTGAAAGCAGGAGCAAGATGCGTTTGTTTTCCATGAGACATGAACATATAAAAGTAACTGTTATCACCAGCTTTTACTAACTTTTGACATTTTGTGGTTGCATTCAAACATTTGCCTTTTCACAAGATGGAAAAATACAAAGAACTATATATATGTTACAATCCAAGCTTAACTTTTTCTTTTTTTTTTTCTTATAGTTTGTTCACAATGAATTACACTTGCGAATGACATACTGGCCAAGAAGCCCAGACTAACTGATCTTTGATGTAAAATGGTTGTTTTGATGATCTTCTCCTAGAACAAAAAACTGGACATCTTGAGCTGTTTCTTGGTGTTTAGCAGGAAAGAAGTCTTCCAGGTCCTGAGCTTCAGTGAGATTTTTATTTGGTTTCATTTGCTCTTTGAATAACTTCTGAAGCTGCCTGCCCTGAGCTTCAATTCTCATTTGCAGATTTCTTTGAATCTGTGGGAAAAACAACAAAGATAAATCATTTTATGTTTGGTGAGGAAAATGAGATTAACGAAGGAATATATATTTTTTCACTAAGAACTGACATACTTCTAGCTGCTCGTGAAGATGCCTTTGAACTTCTAGCTGGATTTGGAGAGCTTCAGTGATTCTAAGCGGCTGCAATTCATTAGCTGATGCTTTCCTCTGAAATTTCCCTGAAAGAAAAAACATGGAGTAATTAGAACGCTATTCAAATTATAGCAACCAATAGGCTATTAAAATTTTGTAGATTTTTAGTTGCCAACGTAATTTTCAGCATATATATCTTGAATAGGCTAGAAAAACAACCAGCACATGAACATTTCTAGTGGATTCCAAATTTTCCCTCCTATCAAATCTTCAGATGAAAACCACTAATTAATACTGGAGAATTTGGCTCACAGTAAACTTAAAAGAAAATAAAAACAAGTGGCATCTATTTGGAATGGCTCCATAATAATTCTTGCATTGCTAATAATTCATGTGTAAGTCATTAGTCGTTTGCAAAGATTCATATTCACTTTGCTTCACTCTCTATTAAATGATTCAGGTTATCTTCCTCTCTCATTTGCATTGACAAAATCATTGGATGCATCTTAAGTTGAACACGTGTGTCTTAAATATTTTATAATTTTTTTTTAAATATAATTTCTTATACTTCAAAATTTTTTTTGTTTAAAAACCAAAAGCTAAATTTCTTATACTTCAAATTTTTATTTATTAAAAAAATAAATTTCTTATATTCTCTCTATAGCCCCAAATCAATCACTCGGCTCAATATTCCATTTCCCAAATCTTCTCATTTTCATTTCTCTTTAGCAGTTTACAATTAGAATTTCACAACAACGCACGATGTTATCTCTCTAATGCTGTCAAAACAATCATCTTAACATTGAAGTGTGATGTCTGGACATTAATGCTCGACACCATCAATTTCTACACTCACAATCACGCCCTTGTTATTTAAAAAAAAATACTCCCTCACCGTCTCGACGTCCCATCTTTGTCCAACATCATCTCAGCATCGATGACCGATGTCATCTCGACATCGAGTGCCAATGTGGTCTCAACATCAAAGCCTTATGTCCATTGCACAACATTGTTGCTCGATTCTCGATAATATTATCGTCTCCCATCTCAATATCTTACATGACATTCACCCCCAACTCTCGATATCCTAATATTAATCACTTTAAGCACGTACCCTTGTTAAATGACTTCTTATTTCTCAATTATTCTTAATATTTTACTTATTCAATTTTTATACACTATCTTTAAGATATTAAAATTATAATATCGTGTCCAAATCATGTTCGTGTCCTATATGTTCAATAATTAATGTATCCCATGTCCGTGTCATGTCATATCTGTGTCATCGTGTCTGTGTTTGTGCATCATAGGAAGAGAGCAATCTAAAAAAATATCTTTTTATTTTAATTTAACTTTATTTGGTTAATAGCAAATGAACTTTAATGCTCGACTGAGGAATCATTTTATTAAAACAAAATTGAAGAGTAAATAAAAGAATCACTTTATTATCCTAAGTCTCTTGACATTTTTACTAGACTTAACACTGCGGTCATAGTTCTAGAAATGGAGCTCTCCTCTCCATTAGAACAAGGAGGAGGCTTAAGCTTTTTGGTCGCTCCTTATTCCATCAACTATCATACCAACCTTATGCATTTCCTTGTTAGCACTGCAATGTTGAAAGGAGCATTTAATGAAGATATATATTAGCTAAATCTAGCTCAAGGTATGCGAGATTTTTTTCTTAAATTTTCATTGAGTTATAAAGCCAAGACAACAATCCAAAGCCAACTGTTTTCCCATACCTACAGGCTAGAACATGCAGGGAGATCGTTGTTGACCCATATGCTAAGAACAAAAAAACAAAGAGGCGAATTTGGCATCTCAAGTAATGGTCACTGGGCGCGACATGCCACTTAAGTAGTCAAACAATCTCTGATCGCCAAACGGACTGTGTCGTTGCAATCATAGAGTAGAATTTGCCTAGGAGGGAGCCCTCACAATCAAAGCGGGCAAAAGCGATCGAAATCAATGACCGACACCCGAAATTGGCGCGTGATGCTGACCAAAAGATGCTCGATCGCAAAAATGAATTCACCGTTGGGTTTGGAATGTCCGGGTCATCTAAAATTGACTATAGTTTCGCTCAACAAAAATTGCGCGAAGAAATCAATGCGCATCCTAAGGCAAAAAAAAAACATGGATTTCAAGAAAGCAGCTCGAAAATCGAGGCGTTTCAAATGATTTCTTTTAAATTTTTCATTATGTTATTTTAAAATATTATTAATCAAAAAAAAAAAAAAAAAGGAAAAAAAAAAAAAAAAAAAAAAGGAAAAGTACGCCGCTTACCTGCAGCTTGGCACTAATGGCGTCGCAAGATTTCTGTTCAAATCATGCCTCGATTGGAACCTGCCTCATCGTTAAAATGAGATCGAATGAGGGCTTCAATTTTTCCTTTGATTTCATGAGCTCTCTCCTACCTCCCTTTGCTGAAGCTGATCCCTTCACTATACTTGACCCCGCCTCCTCAAATTCCCAACCATAGAGCCTCCCAATCCAACTGTTCGGACCTTGCCCCTGCCAAATCCGACACCACCAGCCAATCCAACTGTTGCCCCTGCCAAATCCGACACCACCAGCCGATCACTCGATCTCAATCGGTCGACCAGTTTTCTACCTTAATCCAGTTCTTCATCAAGCCACAAACGTCTGCTCTGATTTCTCCCAACCCATCCTTCACCCGATCACCAAATCGAATGAGCTGCTCACTCCCAATCAACCTCACATAAACAAATCGACTCCCATGCCCGCCCGACCTTGCCTGTCGAGCTATCTTTGACCTCCAACAATAGTCCGACTCACGCCAACACTTCTGGATCTCGCCGCCTCCTATGCCGAAGCCAAACTACCTAGCCTCCTCCAATTCCTCCCAATCTAGCTGAATCACAAGACCCTGTTGTCGTCCTGCCTTAGCTCTCATTCATGACCTGTTCTGCTCACTTCCAACAGCCCAAACTCCACAACCCTAGCAGCAGCTGAACCTGCCGATCCAATCGCCTGAACCTCATGCCTCTACTTCATCCCTACAATGTCGAATCCCTCTTCTTCTTTTTATGCAAATCTTTCTCACCCAACTCATTCACAGTGACTCGAGCCCTTCTCTTCGTTGTTCAAATACATTCCAACCCATCAATTGATCCAACTCAACCACAACCCACTTCAACCATATATATATAATTATTAATTAAAATTATTAGTTATTAATATTATTATTATTTTAAAATTAAAGAGAAGAAAAAATAAAGAAAATGTATTTTTTTGTGCATTTTTCTTCATCATTGTCACACCGACACTGTTGCTTTCGTTTCACTCGTCAATGTTTAACGACTCCTAAAAAAAAACGTCAAAATTCTATTTTTGGCACTCGCGGCACACTGGAGGACCACATAAGAAAATGTATTTTTTGTGCATTTTTCTTCATCATTGTCACACCGACACTGTTGCTTTCGTTTCACTCGTCAATGTTTAACGACTCCTAAAAAAAAACGTCAAAAATTCTATTTTTGGCACTCGCGGCACATTGGAAGACCACATATATACTTTTTTCTTAGTGTGATGGGAGGAAGCCCAATGCGAAGCTTGTGGCGATACAGATAGGCCCTGTACACGTTTTTCTTAGTATGGAGGGGACACTTCTAAGCACCCATGCACGTGCTTTTATGCCTGTAGGAAAAAATTACAAATCTTTCAACCAGGTACCTCAAAGACTCATATATGTTTTTCTTAGCGTGGTGGGATTAAAAAAAATATGACCACGGTGTCGCTCGACACCTATCATACACGTTTTTCTTAGCATGATGAGAATGCCCAGCTCCTCAAAATTCTCCTAAATGAGGGAGACGCTGGGAGGATGCCGGATTCTCCAATGAAACAGAGGACCTGGACTTAAATAATATGAACAGGGAACATAGCTTGCAATTATAGGGAACTTGACCTTAATGCATATTTCAAATAAAAATGTAGCCAAATGAAAAATTGCAATATAAAAGTATAGCATGATGCAAGTTGAATGCAAATGAACGAATATAAAACTTATGGAAGACAAAGAACTTGCAAACATGACTCGCTTAGGAGTAATAATGAAATTGTAAAGAACACAACCTGAGTTCATGCTATGATATAATGCCTTTAATGGATAATACAACTCACATACAAATGATAGCAATTGGTTTACATGTTTATCATGATCCTACTAGTAGTAGTTTTCCTACGAGTCAAGTTGTCTTTGTGGAGTTTGAGACAAATGCATCCCACATGATAATCAATAACATTCATTTGCAAACAAGCATGGTGAGTTCCCAATAAGCGTGGGAATGTACATAACATACTACAAGCAAGATCAAGAAACCTGCAATGAATACAAGCTCCTACGAGACACTATAAGAGGCCCGTGATGCATACAGTGGTCATGCCTACAAGCAACGATAGTGGATGTATTGCAAGTATGATGGACTCTCTACATGCATGAGTAAGAAGATTGCAGCGAGTGCGACGAACTGCCTGCAGGAAACCTATAATAAATCCAGGCACCTACAAGCCAATGTGAAAAATTCGTCATGTACACAGCGGTTCGCATACAATGGCTAGTGACCTTTGGATATCCACTGAGGACTACAAACATATTCAATAAAGCTTGCAGTGCAAATCGGCTTGCATGAAAAATCCACAAATGACCCATAACGCAATGCTACGACTCACGTATAAGCAGAAGCAAGGAGTTTGTATTGAAGGTTGCAGATTATTGATAAACAGAAACAGGGAAAATTCTAACGTCGGGTCGTCACGCCGAATATATTAGCTCATTTATAAATGAAAGGTGGAGGACTCCTGTGCATTGTACAACGCGTTTGCAGGCAGAGATATATTCCTATGAGCTAAATTCAAAGAAAATGACAGCATGAAGAGAACTAAATGAACTAAACTACAATGTTGGTGCACAATGAAAGAAAGGGCAATGCCATGCCACCGAATCAGCAACACTCGTACAAGCGGACATAAGGCGTCTACAAGCTTCTACATAGAACATTGCGCACACTCAAATGACAATCATTCGCAAAGTTGATTAGTGTCAATCACTTTAAAATGACCTTTCACATGCATTGCAATAGATAGAATGTTTTCATTCAAGCATGACATCCAACATTGTAAGATACACTATAACTTAGTAGTGCATCATAATGGAAGAAGTATCATGTAAAACAAGCACACTAGACAACATGTGAAATGTATCATGCGAGTACACGCTCTAATGTAGAGAACGAATTGTGCAAGTGTACGACACAAACATTATAATTGCATGTAGTTAGGAATGAGTAGGCATATTGCAGGCATCCTCACCTAACATATGAATGTACCAGATGCATACATATTATTGTTTTATGCATCGTGCAAACACATCATGCAGGATGCAAATACACGTACCAACACACAAATAGAAACATGAGTGTGTATGCATAACATGTAGATGTGTCGCATATGTCTAATACATTGCATACAAATAGTTGCCACATAAATATATCATGCAAACTGCATTTAACAACATGCACCCACATGGGCCTCGATAAGCATGATATTTGCACACACGTGACATCTGAGAATGCTGTGCGGATCAAGAAATGAACTTAAGTTCAAGTTCGAGTTTGATCCTTCTATGTGAATATATAGAAGTTGACAAGACTCGACCCGTCAAACAAATATACAGTTATAGAGCCGACCGGGATGTTTATTTTATACATTCATATTAGGCTTTCAAAGTCTATAATAAAAAAGATTTACTAATAAAAGCATAACGTCAACAATGAACTCGATCCTCTATCGTCAAGTAAACAAAATCAACAAGTTTTAACAAATAAAATGAAATAGCCTATAAATATCCCTGATAATGGTCGTGTTGACAGAAAATCTCAACCGGAGGAGATTCCAAATATTTAAAATGCCTCTCAAATTCCTATAAAATACAAACATCTAAATTGACTTTAACGTCACCCCAATAATGACTATGTTGAATGTAAATCTCAACCGGAGGAGTTAATTCACAAATATCCGTCAAAGACTCAAAATCCTACATCTATTTATAATATCAATATTTAAAATCTAAATTCAATTATCAAATACTTAAAGCAAAATACACATTCACGCTCCGTAATAGTTTGCTGAGATGGACAAATCTAAAAATATTTTCAACTCACAAAGAACAAAAGTCTGGTCGAGAATATCACTAGGATTCATTCTCAAACTATCTCTTGTCAGTAAGGACGTGACATATGTCTTCTAATCAATAGTTTCGCCGCCAAATCACACCATAGATAAACGGTTATGATTGAGACCATATGATCGGGTGGTTTTTTCGCCAAATGACACCATTAAATTATGGATAGTAAAAACCCGTATGTTCCCAAGGACGCTAAATTCTTGAGTAATAAATCAATAGAATATAACCGATATGACACAAGACCTTTGTTAGCAAAGACGGATTCAAATTTATCCTCTAAGACAAACATTCACCCCAGACCTTTAAGGTACCCTTGGGCCTTGGATGAAGCAACTCATGGCTACAGACAAGGATCCTTCTGTCAGATTGGGTCTACTACCTCCTCTGATTAAGTAGACTAGGGATCATGAGGACCCGGGAAGACGGAACAATTGGATCTTGATCGGGTCAATCATCATTACCCCTACCATCCGCTTTAAGTACAAGGTGCAAATTTTTAATTTTAAATATTAAAATTTTCAAATATCAAATCATGCTGCTACTATATGTCAGATACTATGTATTTGTTTGACTAGGGCTGTCAAAATTAAGCCACCGGTCGAGTTCGGGTCCAACCCAGAACTGACCCGGCACAATTCGTGTACCCGTTTTTTTAAATGGGTCAGGTTTTTTGAGCCGAACCAGGCCTGCTTCGGGTTCAGGTCAAACCAACAAGAATCGAAAGCAGAATGTCGGAGGCGGGACAGCGGGATGTTAGACGCCAGACATGGGCCGCAGGACGCCGGACGTGGGTTGCGGAATGCTGGACATTCACGATTTGCAAAGCGGAATAGCCGGATGCGGACACGTGGGCAAGTGCGGCACGCGGTGATGCAGGCAGGCGCGGTCAGCTGGGTCATTCCGAGTCATTCCCGAGTTTCCGGGTCAACCTGAACTATACCGAATTTTATAAACAGGTCGAAATTCCTAACCCGAACCTGAGTCGGTTCAGGTTCGAGTCAAGCTGAACCTAAAATTTTTGGGTTCGATTCGGGTCGGGTTTTCAGGTCTTGTCAAATATTGACACCTCTATGTTTGATGACTAACCTTAATCGAAAGTCCTCTCTCACTGTCAGGAGCAATAATTAATTATAGGGGCTTGCACCTATAGGAAACTTGAACTCATATCATAAAGTCCTCGTAAAATGAGGGCGAAATCTCTTGATAATGTCTTATTCAAAATCCAATCTGCCTTCTGAAAATTTGCCTCATAACTTAAACGATAAAACTCTCATCGACGACTTGAAAAAAAAAAGCAACCTCAGAGAGGCTAGGGCGCAAATTTTTTGAGCCCACAATCATGATGACCAAAACCCTAAATAAAAACAACGTAGTTTGTTTGGCGTTGCCAACAACCACTTTGTTTCTTTCCTTTGTAGTTCAATACATTGATGTATTATTAAATAATATCTGAAAATCTATCTCAAAAAACTAAATCTAAATATTATAAAATTGATATATAACCATTGTGATTCCAAGAAAATAGTTTTGTATGGCAGTTAAACTTTTCGATTTGGGCCTTTAGAAGATGAATGAAGAGATTGCATGATGCAGCCTTGATCTAAATACAATGTTTATTTATTGCCTTTTAGCTATTTTCCTACACTTTTGATCCATAGAAACTGCCATAACAAAGTACTATTCATCTAGTCATATCTCCCTCAACATAGTCATACTTCTATTCTCATATAAATTCAAGTGTATTCCCAACTCTACTTCAATCAAAATATAAAAGAAAAACAATCCGTAGCAGGAAAAAGAAGTTAAAGGAAACCTTTATTTACCTTCAGAAGACTCAGGCAGGTATTTGGCAATTCGATATTTCTGCAAACAATCAAAACAATAACGCATGGCTTGCAAAAACGTTATACAAAACTGGACTATTACTTAAACTAAGAAACCTGCAAATGACTCTTGATATGGTAGATTGTCAATCCATCAGAATCCATCAGTTTTAAGATACCCTTTGGAGTCGCCTCTACCAAATTAAAAAAAAAAGAGAGAGAGAGAGATTTCATCAAGGTTTTCATTATTAGAAGAGATCACTTACAACTTGACAAAGCTCTTCCATGTGAGTGGAAAATTTCTCTTTACTTACTCTCTGAGCCTCCAAGGCAATTCACGCATGCAACAAATTTTTCATGAAGATCTGGTGTCCACCTAATTCGTGTTTTACTAGGAACAAAACTTCCTGAATTAGGATTGTATGAAGTAATAGGAACAACTATGGGGGCCTTTGAGTGTTTCTTAACATTTTGAAGCTGGAACTTTGGACTTCTCATCAAAGCGTTTTCAAGATTGTATCCGACCTTCAACAAAAGCCATCAATTAGAAAATGCCATTTCTAGTACAGAGCTTCAAATATCTGCAATAGGAAAATAAAATGCTAGATAGAACTAAATATTCTGTTCTTCAAGTGAAGAGCAACAAACTATCGATAAAACTTACAGAAGATCTATTAACCGTTTCACTTGATACTAACTGTCTTTTATTCAAGTTGGAATCAAGTCCTTCTTCAGTGCTTTGAGCAACCAATTGAGCCAAAATATCTTGATGATTTCTGTAAAGAAGCTTTTGCCTCTTATCACAAACTGCAGAATTTCCACATTCATGTAAAGGGAACCTGACATCTGATTCCAATGTCTCCCATGAATGAGAAACATCTCTTTTCTTCTCTGGTCTGAGAGAGAATTTTGAAACCGGAGAAACATGGACTGAGAAATCTAAGGAATTTATGGGTGGCTGATATGATACCGATGGGTAGCTAACTTGGTGCTCAAACTGAGGAAAATCCATCAAATATTCAGCAGAAGAAAAGCTAGACGTGGTGGATCCAATAGAGTTGGGAAAAGCACTTGAGCTATGACAAGGAGGCATTGCTGAGCCTTCCTCAGAATAAGAAAAGAGATTTGAGGAGTTGAGATTGTTTTTCCATGGACTACAATCGAATAACAAAGAGGGGCAATTAAATTTTTCACAAGAAGGGTTTACAAACTCAGAAGAGGAGCAATTTGATGACCCATAGGTAGGTTCATGGCATCCAATCTTCTTAGTGTTCATTTAGAACAATATGAAGCTACTTGAAACGTCAATAAACTTGAGAAACAACAAAGGAGTAACAACAAACTGCCGGGTATCAAAAACTTATTATTTCTTGGCTTTTATTTATATTAAAACAAATAATGCACCACCTGACAGAAAAAAGCAAGCTGCCCACACTGCTGCCAAATTTCAAAGGTTCCACAAGAAGAATCTATTTCTTATATTCCATTAAGCTTCATATTGAAGATATGGAGGAAAACAAGTTAAGGGAATAATCACATTTTAGTCTAATTACTTCTGATAAAGATAGAGATAAAGAATGCATTCTTAAAGAGCACTAAAATAAAAATAGAAATGACACGTACTGAGAAAACAACAAAGAATACAGAATGAAAAGAGAATGAAGAAGATTGAATGGAATGTGTTGTGCTCAAAGAGCATTAGGTATTATCATATCTAATCTATAACATGTGATAATTATTTAAAGAAGAATTCTTTAGTATTTATTACTGTATTAGATTCTTGAGGATATACTTCACATTGTGTTTTCCTTTATTATTCATTTTGTGTAGCTATATATAGGCGCATATTTGCTTTTACTGAAACGTTAATTAAGAAAAGATGCAGCTATTTTATATGTCCTACATCTCCTCCAACAAACCAGAACCACCACCACCTCTCCTTAATCAACATTGCCACCACTTGCTCACAAAGCAGACCAAATCTCTATTCTCTCCGATCTCACACATAAATCTCTCCTCCTCATTTCAACCTATAGGCAACTATTTTACCAGAAAACCTTATAATTCTATTCTTCAACAACCAACAGCTTCTTCTACACACCCTTTACAGCATGTCACCAACAATCCCAACATCTCGTGGATCTTAAGCTCTCTATAAACTCACCACTAGCCAAATAAATGCCAACATCACCTATCTCCTTATCCCATTAAGTAGCTCAAGCCATCACCTTTTGTCTCCTCTCCTTTAAACCTTTCAGAAGCAACCCTACCAAAATCAACTTATCAACATCTCCTCAATTGCCTTTGACCTCTTATTCCTTGCCCCAAACCAATAGCGGACCTCTCACCTTACCTCTCTCCCAGCTAGAAAATGATTACAAAAAACCATCATCTTAAAGTTTACCTATTCCCTTCAAGTAGCCCATCACCTTCCCCATCTTTTCGAGCCATCTAGCCAAAAACCTCTCATTCCAATTTCTACAACTACTAAGAGACCTCCCCTCTTGATCTAACTCCCAAGTACTACACCTCACATTTCTTATTCATGACCGTAACCACCTGCACCTAGTAGCACCTCATTCACATGTTAAAACCAACCATCTCTACCATAATGTTGCATTTTTTCCCTACCTCTGCATCATCCAACAGAACCAACCCCTCCTCGTCCCCCCTTTTGAGCCTTAATCCAATTCCTCTTCTCTCCTCCCTCTCTCCTCTCTCTAACCTTTTTCTCATTTTATAGAAAATCTATTGTGGCCAAGCCCTTGTAAATCATTCCCTAACATCTGCTCCTTCACTACCTTACCATATCCCCAACCTTGCCTCCTACTTCATGTCCACATGCTTAAACAAAAAAACTAACCCATCTATCTCATCCCTCAAAAGCAGCTAACCAAACCCATCTACTCTCCCTCAAACTTAACCTCCATGCCTTAAGCTTTCCACATAGCCAAACTCCATGCTCTCTCCTTTCTTTCTCGCTTCGGCAAGGAAATATTTTTGTCCAAGTAAGTAGTTGAATCACTTTTATTCTATCTTAAGCAATCAACCACATGTTCATCAAGATGAAATCGATCGCCTATCCACAGAAATGTTGCCTCTCGTGTTGTCAAGTACCACCAACTAACCTTACAAACTAAACCATTTGCACCCCTTTCAAATGTCAAGCCATTGAATCAACACCCCAACACCACTAAGTGCACCCATATTCAAAAGCAACAAAGTTCCTCGTATTGTCGAACCTCTCATTTCCATCACCTCATCTCGTGTTACCATCATTGGATCTCATTTTTCCATACACCCCTATTGTGTTCTTTGCACGTCCCTCGTGAGAGTTCATTCTACATATTGATTTAGCATTGCTAAACAGTGAACCCCTATATGTCTTGCTACAATAGCACCTTCCTAGCCTTTGTCTCCCTAGTCATCATGCACCAACTAGCTCGAACACACATGTCACTCCCAATGTCATCTCCCAAAATGAGCCTCTTGCCTTCACTATTTGGTGTCACTTGTCGATGCCCTCTCCAACCACAAAGCCTATCAATCCTAGTACTTGTGTAGTATTTCCTCTTTCCTCTACAATAATTATAATTTCCAAACCCAAGTTGACATTTTTTATTCCACCTTAAATGTGCAAAGGAATGTTATCATATCTAAATCATCACGTGTGTTATATTTATAGTAGAAATCTTTAATATTTATTGTTTAATATATCCACACCATTGAGGATATTCTCCTCGTATTTTCTTTTATTATTCTCTTCATGCGCCTATATATACATATTTTCTTGCACTCTAATAATAATTGAGTAAAGATATAGTCTTTTTACTTCTCATACAAGTAGGAGCATAGATTCAAAACATAATGTAACCTCTTATATATTCCTAGAGAGATATGAAGCCAATAGTAAGAGGCCGTGGCACTTCAGAGAATAAAATATGAAATTCACTGAAGGATGGCACTATCATTAGTCTTTCAAAAAGATGGAAAAGGGTTCAAATCAACTAAAAAATATTAGTTTAATGCAAGAATAAAAAAAAAATTGAAAGCAGAAACCGGTGATAACAAACCAAATCAGAAAAATCTACATGCAAGAAAACAAAGAAATTGATTTGTTTTTTCATAATCTTGTTGAAATTTCGCATTTCAACAACGAGTTTAAGAGCAAAAGCCTCCGCAAGGTCAGCTATGAATTTTAATTCATCACCGGCAGTGCAACCATAACAGAAACCAAAAGAAAATAATAGTGACGAAGACATAAAAATTTGAACATGGATAACCTTGTGGGTCTTTAATCTCCGAACAAGCTGAGGCAATGAGAGAAGAGCGCCGGCGCCGTCGCCGTCGCCGGCCTATAGATGTAGAAAGGGTAAATATTAGGGTATTCTCACCCAGTTAACTCTCGGCTGGATTGTCCTTTGTTCAATGTCCTGCCGTACGTCGGAATGAATGGATCGATGAAGCTAAAATTATTGATATAATTAAATTTGGGAAAATTGAAATGGTTGGATTAAATCTGCGACCTCATGAATTAGCCAACCTTTTTTTTAATTTATTGAAAAATTAGCCAAAGTGCCTATAAACATTTAGGGCAGGATTTAACATTGATGCTTCTATGAATTTCACAGAACGAGAATTTATAGGTATTATAGCACATCATTAGTTCACATCAAAAATCTTGTCAATCTTTTGATTGGGCTGATCAAACACATTCATTCTACATATTTTTTTAAATTTTGATGTCAATTTTATAAATTTGATATAAAATTGACTGTTTGTTTCAGGTCATCTTTATCATTAAACTTGAGATTATCATCAATAGTAGTTTTGCCATTGACTAAAGCTTTTGAGTTTAGAGGATAAAATTCTTAGGTTAACTTTTAAGTCTTTTATTTTTTGTTGAAATGACAATTTTTTATTGAACATGAACTATTGCGGGCCTTTCAGTAATCCTTGTTGATTATTGCATTACTCCTATAAATAGGGAACGTCTAATATCTATCATCCATCAATATTGAACATCGATCTTATTGATGTCAATCTCCCTCCTATCAGACAATGAACAAATCGGTTGTCATCATCGCCCAAATTTGGATAGTCCTCATCAATCGTCAAATGACATCTACTAACGATCGACATCTAAAGTCTAATGCCCCTTTTGGTTTTCCGATTGATCGCCTCTCATATCAAGATAATAACTAGGCCAATTGTCCTATTTCCCCTTAGTCCCCTTAGTTCTGGCATCCACCCTCAACCTCATCCAGTATTTATCATTCGCTTATAACTGCGTCACTTTACAACTCCTAAAACTACCATAAAGATATCTTACATTATTCATGACTATTACATTATATTAAAGCCTTAACAAGCTATATGAAATTGTGTCATTTATATTCCTTATCTCCTTTTAGTAAAATTATTTCTATTAGGCTAGACCTATAATTTTTTCCATTTTACTAGTTTTCACATAAATAATCTCGTCTAATGTGTGTTGCGCTCAACTAATTCATATGTATGTAACATCTTCGTATAATCTTACACTGTTAAATTACTGTTATCACCATAAATATTCTATCCCACAATAATATTTTAATAGATCTCTTCCACTTCATTAAATTCAAATAACTTTCATAAATTCCACTGCCTTCTAGTTTCTTACAAAATGCTTTTTATTTCTTTTATTGTGGGACATCTATCTATCATTCAGGCTTCGTTTGAGATGATTTTCTTACTGTTTTTTGAAACAGTTTTTTAATACAAGAAATTTTTTAAACTAAAAATTTTCTTGCTTCTCGAGGAACCATGACAGCATCTAAGCATGCATTTGTCCAAAGGGGTCAAAATCATACAATGAACGGTCCCAATGACTTGTTCTCAGCCCATCCATCCATACTCCATGGAAGCATTATTCCATAGAATTCCCAGTTGCAAGGATACATCTCCTTGCTTGCTATAATTGAGAACATAATTTTTTTTCTTTCTTTTACTTTTTTTCACTTTCCCTTCCTTCCATTCCAAGGCTGGAAATCTTCATCTCTACATCAATCTTAAAAGAATTTATATGGAGGACCATCCATTAATATGCTTAATGGAGTATATTCCTTCCCTTTGGATTGCATCCCCTTCACAGAAAGTGCCTCAGGTTTGTAAAAAGCCACTTTGTCTTTATCTCCTTAGCTCCATTAACTAGCATGGACAAATGGACTCTTTTGAGGCAAATTATTAGGTTCGGACACCGGACAAAAAGAATCATCAGGATTTCTCTGTCTATAGTAAAAGCATAATCAAAGCTCAGCTGCTACAGTACCTGCGCTTTGATTGCAGTTTTACTGTAGACAGAAAAATATCCGAATGATTCTCTCTGTCCGGTATCCGAACCTCATAATTTCTCCTCTTTTGAACCCATAGAATCCAATAGCCAAATCTAAATTCTACAAGTAAAATGAACTAACTTTAGTCAAGTTATGCTCGTGATAAGCTTATTCCTCTTTGAACTTGTACGAGAAGCAAAAGCTTAAATAGTTAAGGCTTAGTCTGGGACGGTTTTATTATTGCTTCTTAAAGGAACTTTCTAGTACCAAAATGTTAATATTTTAACTAAAAAATTGCTTTGAGAAGCAATAAAAAAATTGCTCCAAACGAAGCCTAAGTTTGCATGAACCAATCCATGGTGTGAAATTTGATAAAAAGAATGCTTAAAAATCAGATCTCTCTGACTGAAGCATCCTGTGTTGCAGGAGAATGGATTCCTGATCAAGCAGAAGCTTTTTGATTACATAATCAGCACCATCATTATAAAATGAAAAATGTTTATAGTAGAATGTACTGCCATATTTTGAATCATATAGATTTAAAAATGTTAAAATTTATGCTGAGATTGAGGTTTCGTTTGGGACAATTTTCTACAGCAAATTTTTGGTATAAAAATTTTCTTTAAAACAGTGATAAAAAATTGTCTCAAAAGAAACCTAATACTTTATATAAATATGTATATGATTGTATTTTTAAATTAAACTATGATTATCAATAGGATTATAATTATATTAATTTAAAACGCATAATTAGAGCTGCAAAAAGCTCATCGGGTTTGTCACAATCCAACCTGATCAGGACAAATCCTATGGTGTTGAGCTGTAATTGGCAAATTCCAAGATCTAGTTATAGAATGTTTCATATTAATTCTCTTCTAATATTCATTTTAAATAAATAACAACAAAGTACAGAGTTACTAAAATATTTAAGTACTGAAAATAAATTCATCAATAAGATTTCTTTTATTTAATCAAAATATATATACACTACGGTACAATATTGCTATAAACAAAAGTTATTTAACTAAATAATAACTAGTCATGATTGTACAAAAATCAAAACAAAGAAATACTTATAAATTCAGATCTAATTATGAATTGTTAATCAATAGGCTCTTTTCACTTTCCAGATCTTAAAAAACAGAAGTAAATCCACAATGAGTTACAACATTTCCGCAAGCCACATAAACCGATTTAAATTTTCAAATTCTTTTATTAAATAGCTTTTCAAAATATTTAAAAGCATTTAAATGTTGTATGATAAAATACTATGCAGTAATAAAAGCTTGGCAGTTATCCAAATATGAAATAATAAAACCGAGCAGTTAAATAAATTGAGCAATTAAATAAATTGAAATTTATATCAATTTCATTTCAGTTTTTCATTTATTTTATCGGACTCAAAAAGAATCTCAAAACATTTTGATCCCTTATGAATAATTTTTGTTGCTTATAATACTAGAATATACTCGTTAGCATCAGAACATGGCTTATAGTCACTAGAGCAAGCCTTAAAAGCACCAAATTCTTAGATACAGACAGAGTTTCAAAGAATTTTGACTCATCTATCCCTCAATAGTTATAATTCAGTCACATATACACATAGTTTATCACATTATGCCAATTAAAATATAATTGAGCACGCGTTAGAATTGCATAATTTTCTAGAATGATATCAAACAGAAATTTCTACTGAGTTAAATTTTACAGCTTCAAAACATAATCAAATAATCAAGGATTGTGTAAACATTATTTTAAGACATTAATTGTATTACAACACAATTTTTCAGTGCCCGGATTATTTTCTATTTGATAAAATTATATAATTTATAAAATACCAGATAAAAATTTCTAAAAAAATATTCAGAATGTTCATAACCTCAGTCTCTATAACATATAAAAAGTTAATCAATAAAAGTTTTCTCAGTGCAAAGTTATTCTCATCTTTCGATAACAAAAATATAAATTAATTTATTCTGAATATTTTTTAAAAGTTTGATACTTTTGAAAATTAAAATAAGCATAATGTGATCTACCTAGATCTGGACAACTTTCCCAACTCGGGCGACGCCTAAAAAGAGCCCAAGTGGCTAAAATTCACTTTTATCTCTCCAAACATCTCTTTATCTTTTAATAATAATAATAATTTTTTTTCTATATTTTTTATAAGAAACTAATTTTTATCACTTTTTTGGTTGAGGAGAAATTGAGTAGATTTTTTTTTTATTTGCAAGAATATTGTTGCGTCTAGGAGTATTTGTGGCGATAGAGAAATAAAAAGTTTAACATCTTAGCGTTGTACGAAAATTCGGCACGCAATCAGATAAAAAGAGAGGGTGCATCATCCATTAGAGGCACCAAGATTTTTACGTGGAAAACTCCTGAAAAGGGGGAAAACCACGGGGCCTGACCCAATTTAAATGAATCCACTAGTATTATTGTATGAATCCACTAGTATTATTGTTGATTACAAATGAGGCCCTTCCTTACTAGAAGGCCTTAGCTTGACGTACATCTTATAGAGTATATTACATGGTGAGAATACATAGCATCATTGTTGATGTGTTTGTTTGGTCTGAAAGATTGTTGTCGGTGGACGACGTAAGTCGGAAAGACTGTAATCGGCGGGCAACGGAGGTCAGGAGGACTGTAGTCAGCAGGTGACGTAAGTTTGAAGGACTGTAGTCAGCGTGCGACGTAAGTCAGAAGGACTGTAGTCGGCGGGCGATGTAAGTCATAAGGATAGTGTCTGGTAGAAGTCCAAAAAAAGAGAGAAATCCAACATCAGATAGATGTTCGATGAAAGTCCAACAATAGGCAATATTCTAGTGTATGGTAGAAATTTGGCGACGAGCGGAGGCCTGGTGTCGGGAAGAAGTCCGATGTAAGTTGGTGGCTGAGGATAACTCTGGCTTTAGATGGCATTCAGGCAGAACTCCG